ATTTTGATCCGCACGATCATAGAGGGTGTAAATCACGACGATGAGTTAGCGCTGATTTTAAATCAGTTCAAGGCGTTTTTATAGAGTTGATTTCTCGCCACCTTGCAGCTTTTCTTTTAGGCCGCCGGATTTAAATCGACTCCTGCCGCTGGGTACAGGTTGTTTATTTATCTCATCGGGCGCTTTTTATATATGTCTAGGTCGATTCGTCTCAAATGTCCACTATCGCCCCCATTTTGTTTTGGCGTTTACAAATTTTTTTTTCCGGCCTTACGTGAAATCGCCCTTCCTGGAGGAGCTTGTCCAGGATTCCCGCGTACGCCGATGACGTATCTGCTTGTCGTCCCGCAGCGACATTGAGGTGGTTTCTGAAGGCGCTTTTATCGGTACAAAAAAGGTTACTATATTTGATTACGGCGACAAGTCGTCTGGTTTGCGGTTAGATGCCTGGAAGGGGGTCGATCTTCCGGGACCATTCGGTTGGACGGACGGTCCTGTCCGCATTTTTGGAGTGTGGTTTGGACCCGAACTCCAAGAAAAAACAAGAACAAATCTATTTCCATACCTGATGATGTCTGTAGGAACAGACGAAAGCTTTTAAAAACTAAAAAAAGACCTTATGCAACTGGAATTTATAAACAGGGATCATATCATTCATATACATGTTCGGGGTTAGTGTACTTTATTGAAATTGTTTGCGAAGATGTATTCTCGCCATTTAAATCATTAACCACTATATTCGTTTTTTGTATGAATAGATTCATGTAATTATATATATATATATATATATATATATATATATATATATATATATATATATATATATATTATTATTATTATTATTACAGGTTCTACAATGTCTGCTGTCTTCTTTTCATTGACCATGAATATGCCAGTAAAAGCAGCCAAGGTGGAATGCCGGTTCCCTTTGTCTAGGTCAGGATCAGTCAATTTTATGTAAGGGTTGTTACATAGACGATTTAACCGTGACAACGATATCTCTTCAGTTCTCTGAATGTTCTCAAATAATAATCTTATTCAGCATTTTTTGCTTCTTAGTAACTCTGATCAACCTGTGAAAATCTTGTTTAACGTTTATTGAAATTTTATTTCAGATTAATTGTAATTGAATGCCAAGAAGGCAAAAATGTTACTCATGTTACTGTCGTTCGTTATCTTCAAATGCTTTAAATTCAACTTCTCTTTCCCCTCATTTATTCGTCTTGTTTTGCTCATTTTGGGTAAGCTCGCAAGGTGCTTAGTTTACCGTGGTTACCTAGATGTTGGGTATTATCACGTTGGTACATATATTCGGTCGATTTTTTCTGAGGTTTTCTGAATAATCTTTCGCAGCATTCTTTGATTCTTAGTAACTCTGATTAATCAATTCACAAGGCTGAGTCTTGAAATATATCAAAGAAGAACAACTAATAATTGTAGCACACGACATACCAACGTACTCTTAGGTTCTTGCATACATTCGTTTTGTCTGTTGTTCTCCAAAGACCTTTGCAATCACCATTACGCATCCATTTTTTTTCGAATCCTCTGCACTATCCTCAGATTGACACCTAAACACTCTAAAAATGTTCGTATAAGAGTTTCTTGCGTAAATGCCAACCAGGACAGCATGTCGTTTTCAAATTTCTGGCGAAGCGAATTGCAGTCGGTGACCAACTGACCCTACTATACTGTGTCATCGACAAAGTAAAAAAAAAACTATGCGCATGCGCAAAATTAAAAATATAAAATGTCGACAATTTATCCATTCTTTATATATTACGCCAACCCAGAGGTTGTTGTTCTAGCACAAGCGGAATTTAATATTTTGAAGGCTAATCTTCTTGGTAATCAGTTTGATCAAGCTCATTTGATACCATCTGTGGGAAAATGTATCAGTGAGACATCTTACTTATTATAAAACGCAGATTGTGTGTGTGTGTGTGTACGTTTATATATTGGGTCGGATTTCCTACATTTTTCAACCGATTTCAACAAAACTTCACAAGACTACGTAAAATTACCTTGCGGTGGTTCTGACAGCGCCAAAAATTGGAAAAACACAATTGTTTTTGCACGAAATCAATTTGAAAACACGATAAAACACGATTCTGTCGCCAGAATGAAAGGGGGACAACTCATATCGAGTTATACTTATAAAACCCAGGTTGTTTGTGTATGTGTGTGTGTTCGTTTATATATGGGATCGGATTTCCTACATTTTTCAACCGATTTCAAGAAAACTTCACTTTTTTTTGGCAGGCAGTGTTTCTTATTGTCTTGCACACTTTTTTTCTTTATTTTGACATTCAGAATGCTTTAAAAAATCCATTTACAAGACAATTGTTTATAATAAAATTCTATTCAATTGATAGACTCATAACGATTGAAAACAATGTTTTTGTTCGAGTTTGGGTTTGACCAATTCGTAAAAAAAAAAAAACGAAAAAACTAATTAAGACATGCTTGTCCGTCAACCTTAAACAATAATCTTTGTCCATTTTATTTTTCAGTCTTTATGATGGTCGATACTTGATCTATCTCTTACTGTTACATCCCCGGGCAACGCCGGGCTCTACTGCTAGTAATTAATAAAAACGGTATCTGTCTTATTTGTTTCAGTCTCGTTCTTCAAATATAGATGATTCCGAGAGATCAACAAGTCCTGCCAGGATTCTTTATAGGCGCTTACAATCTTAACAACGTAAGATCTACTGATGACACAATGTTAAAGACAAACCCGGAAAGGAAACTATATGCATTCCATCAGAAGGAAAGCGAGAAGAAAGGACAAAGCAACAATTGTAAGAAGAACATAATGTAGGATTATCAGGAAAAAGAACAGCCCAAGATGTGATCTACAAACTGAAGACACAGAATCAAGCAAGTGGTGAAACATTTCAATGTCTAGGAATTACTTTAACAGTGAACGGAAAATATGACACCGAAATCCGAAGTCGCATTAGAATAGCGAAATATGCCTTGGAAAATGTAAGCAAAATGTTAAGAAATTGCGATAAATAAGTACTGAATTAATATATATATATATATATATATATATATATATATATATATATATTATAAATAAAAAATTCTAACATAAATATGTTATAAAATCACTACAAAATAGCCATTTTGTTTTAAATATCTGGTGACTTATCAAGTGATAATGTTGAATGTAGATTGTCAACTTCCTTGATAAGACACCAGAGGTGTTGAAACAAAATTACCATTTTGTAGTGATTTTATAACATTATTATATTTAGAAACCTTTTGAAAAATAATTATATTTCGCTCTACTTTCTATTGAGCTCTCTTTTTAGAATAGTAATTGTTAGTTATTTAAAATTTATTCCGTATACACCAATCATATACTTGGATATATATATATATATATATATATATATAGAGAGAAGAGAGATAGTAAACCGAGAGAGAGAGAGTGAGAGAGAGAGATAGAGATGTAGTGAAATAATTTAGATAGATAGATAGATAGTGAAGTAATTTAGATAGATAGATAGATAGATAGATAGATAGATAGATAGGAAGTGACCATCATCCTTGGATAAAATCAAAATATCCGATCGCTTCGCCGACCGCAAGAAAGACAACTTGTAAACCAAGACAAGGACAAAGTGTAGTCGAAACACAAGGAAAAGATATATTTAGAATAAAGATTAAAGATGACATAAGAAAAGGAGCAAGAAAAAGGCAGATTTTCCAATAATAATAAAATAAATGAATAAAAAAAATACTCGAAAAATAGGCCGAAAACTGAAAAGAAAACTGAAGAGTAAAGAGAAAGGGGCAAAGTTGGAGGTAACGGCGGAGATAGAGCAGGAGCAGGCTGACTTCGCTTGGTGACTGGCCGAGCTTTGCCAGTCAATGCTTGGCGCTGCTGACGTCAATAGCCAGATATCATGACGTCAATACTTCAAAAATCAATGCGCGCTCTGACAACAAAATTCTTCTTTTTCTATTTCTCTTATTCTGTAGCTTTTTCTCTCGAACTTATTTCTTTCGAGTTTTTTTTTTTTTTTTTCCTTCGCTTGAATTTCCAGAGATTATAAAGATTCTATTTTTATTCTTTCCATTGCTTTTTCGTTTGGTCTTATTCATTCTTTAACATTGTTATTTTTTTTTCTTCTTTTTATATGGATGGTCTTATAAATATCTGCCTTCGTTTCTCTGATTATGTTTTTTTTTTATTTTCTCTCTCTCTCTCTCTCTCTTTCTCTCTCTCTCTTTCACTCTATCTGTTTTTCTCTCTTTCTCTCTCTCTCTCTTTCACTCTAACTCTTTCGCCCTCTTTCGGTCTCTGTCCTTCTCTCTCTTTCACTCTATCTCTTTCTCTTTCTCTCTCTCTCTTTCACTCTCTCTCTCTCTTTCACTCTCTCTCTCTTTCACTCTAACTCTTTCGCTCTCTTTCGGTCTGTGTCCTTCTCTCTCTTTCACTCTATCTCTCTCTCACTTTCACTCTCTCTCTCTCTTTCACTCTCTCTCTCTCTCTTTCACTCTAACTCTTTCGCCCTCTTTGGGTCTCTGTCCTTCTCTCTCTTTCACTCTCGCTCTTTCTCTCTCTCTTTCACTCTCGCTCTTTCACTCTCTCTCTCCTTCACTCTATTTATTTCACTCTCTCTCTTTCAACTATCCCTTTCTTTCTCTCTTTTATTCTCTCTCTCTCTTTGTTTCACTCTCTCTCTCTCTCTCTTTCTTTCTGTCTTCCGTTCCTTTTCTCTTTGTCTATTCATTTTTTAATTATTTTTTTCTCTTCTCCTTCGCACTTTTAACCTGCCATGAATTAGTTTGCATTCCTGATTACTTACTGAGCTTAATTTCGTCTGACACAAGGCCAATAATAACGGGAGAGAAAAAATTGCTGCATAAGCTGATGGCTAAGAGAAATAAGCCTGCTTACCCATAATTTAATCCAATTCATTAAAATTTATATAAACTTTAACGTTTTATGTCCATAAAAACTTCTTTCTTTCATTCCATTCATGTATAGATATTTCTTTCTTTCTTTGATTTTTTTCTTTCACCTTTCTTTTTCCTTTTCTTCTCGGTCTTTTCTTCTTTTTAACTGGTTTATCGTTCGTCTTTATAAATCCTTTTCTCATGTAGCTACCTTTTTTCCTTTATCAGGTTTCAGCATACATCTTTCCTTCTTTCGTTCATTCTTTCTTTCTTTATTTATTTCTTTCTTTCTTTCTTTCTTTCTTTCTTTCGTATAGTTCCACCTTTCTTTCCGTCTTTCTTTTATTTATTTATTTATTTATTTATTTCGTATACTTCCACCTTTCTTTCTTTCTTTCCGTTTTTTTTTTCGCTGTCCTTTTTCTCTCTTCTCTATCATCCTTTTTCTGTCATCAATAGATTTTTTTCTCCCTTTTTTCTTTTTCTTCTTTCCTTCTTTTCTTTTTTCTCATTTCCTCGGTTGCCTTTTTTATCTTTATTCCTTATCCTTTCATCTTTCTTTTTTCTTTCTTATCCTCTCTGTACTATCACTCTTTTTTGTCTTTATCATCAACGGTTTTTTTTTCTTTCTTTTTTTTCTCGTCTTTTCATCTTTCTTTCTTTCTTTCTTTCTTTCTTTCTTTCTTTCTACCCAGCCATTTCCCCGACTTCTTTCTTTCTTTCTTTCTTTCTTTCTTTCTTACCGTCTTTCTTTTTTACACTGCCATTTTTCCTCGCCTTCTTTCTTTCTTTCTTTCTTTCTTTCTTTCTTTTCTTTCTTTCTTTCTTTCTTTCTACCCAGCCATTTCCCCGACTTCTTTCTTTCTTTCTTTCTTTCTTTTTCTTTCTTTCTTACCGTCTTTCTTTTTTACACTGCCATTTTTCCTCGCCTTCTTTCTTTCTTTATTTCTTTCTTTCTTTCTACCCAGCCATTTCCCCGACTTCTTTCTTTCTTTCTTTCTTTCTTTCTTTCTTTCTTTCTTTCTTTCTTACCGTCTTTCTTTTTTACACTGCCATTTTTCCTCGCCTTCTTTCTTTCTTTCTTTCTTTCTTTCTTTCTTTCTTTCTTTCTTTCTACCCAGCTATTTCCCCGCCTTCTTTCTTTCTTTCTTTCTTTCTTACCGTCTTTCTTTTTTACACTGCCATTTTTCCTCGCCTTCTTTCTTTCTTTCTTTAGCCCCTTTTTTATTTTAAAATATCTGTCTGTTCAGTTTTTACCATATCTTTCTTGCCATGCACATTTAATTCTTTCTTTCTACATCGAGTCTCCTCTATACAGGCTCCATTATATAAGCTAACCAACCTCAACCTTTGACCATCAACATCTAAAAAAAGAAAGAAAGAAGATCAATGTATTGGCTCCATGTTGGCAGCATTCAGTTAGCAAGAGAATAAATGATTCAAGTTATGATAGAAAGCAACGCTACAGCTAAGGTTACTGACCGTGTCATAATGTTCATAAGGATGTAAGCAGATTTCCAGAGAGAGTGGGTTAGGTTCACAACGAAGTAGTGGTTGTTGTGGTCGAAGAATAAAATGCCGTTTGCTTGGAGGGTGGGGCCAGATTTAACTACGTCATTGTCTGAAATTAGACACTGGCCTGAAACTCTTCACTTTCTGGTTTGAAACGTTAAAGCATACTATTTATTTCTGAAATTTTAAGCAATATTTTGTGCATTGTAAAGTAAATTCATATTTCATGCTATCACCATGTTTACTCATATTGCTATATAACAGGTTGCTAGGTTTATTCTCACACTCTCCTCCTCCTCCTCCTATCTCTGTTCCTCTCTCTCTCTCTCTCTCTGTTTGTCTGTATGTCTGTCTTTTCTCTCTCTCTCTCTCTCTCTCTCTCTATATATATATATATATATATATATATATATATATACCACACAAGATACACAACACACACAGATACAGATATATATATACGCGCACACACACAGATGCACAACACATACAGACACGCACACACACACATATATATATATATGTGTGTGTGTGTGTGTGTGTGTGTGTGTGTGTGTGTGTATGTATGTATGTATGCAAATATATTGATAAAATAAGAAAGAACCGTTAGATTGATGCTCCGAAGTTCTTTAGCCTTTTTGATTTTATTCTTGAAAACCTATGCTCGATACATAAGAAGTGCCTAGATTATAATTATTTAAAAAAAAAAAAAATGATTCCATCGCAATACAGGAATTACCATGTTTCAAAAACAGAAGCTAAAATCTTCCAATTCAATTACAGAAATTAAATTTACTTTAATATCTATAATCGAATTCGAAGTTTTTAGCTTCTGTTTTTGAGACATGGCAACCTAATAAGCGATGAAATTATATTTTTTTAAATATATATATATATATATATATATATATATATATATATATATATATATATATATATATATACAGTTCAAATATTTGGAGCCACCCCAGAATTAGTATGGAATGACAGAAGAGAAAAAAAAAAATGGAAAACAAATCTTAGAGTCATTGAAGAAAGAATGGAATCATTTACCAAACTTAGCCTTTGAGAAACTTTTGCAACGAATGCCAAAAATTTGTCCTGCAGTAATCAAGTCTAAAAGAGGCTATTTTGACGAGAGCAAAATTTAATCATAAAATGCATTTTTCTTTTCCTCATAATAAAATTTCTAATAAGAAATCATGTTTCACTTTTGTAACCATGTACAATAATTTTCTCTTAAAGTACAAAACAACTACTTTTGGGGCCAATTAAAAGAAATGACTAGAGGTCACCTCAAACTTTTGAACTGTAGTGTATATATCATTACGTGTATATATTATACCATCATGTGCTTTTTTTAGTAGTTATTTAGTTATCATGTGCTTTTTGTTAGTAGTTATTTACATTATTCGGACTATTGTCCTCATCTTTGTCGCCATATTTATTACAACGTATCGGGTGGTTTGAGTGCCGAACTGAACCCTTTATTTCGCTCACTGGGGTTCCATGTGCCATGTTTAATGGATGTCAGTTATCAGTTATCTCCTCAGTGTTCTGCATTGTCTTAGCCGGGTATTGAACTCACACTGGGTTCTGTCACTGGATCTAACCAACGCCTTTATCCACTGTGCCATGTGTCCTTGAGGATACAGCTGGGTATGAATTACCCGTATTTGACGTTATGTATATTTCAAAGAATATTTCTTTCGTCTACCTGGTTGCATTCTCGAGAAAACAAGAAAAATAATGTGTCCTCAAGCGAATTTCGCTTCAGGATGAAATGGAACTAATGTCTTTAATTTAATTACAAAATTAAATTCGTAGCTTCCATTTTTGAAACATCGTTAGAACTGTGTAGCGAAAAAAATACCATATTTTAAATAAATCAATTTATAATATTAATGCTCTGTAAATTTACATTGAGCACTATTTTGTAAAAATAAAAATATCTATAAGAACACCGGATTATATATCTTACTGTTCTTTCTTTTTATTTATATATACTTACATATATATATATATATATATATATATATATATATATGTGTGTGTGTGTGTGTGTGTGCGTGCGTGTATATATATATATATATATATATATATATATATATATATAATATATATATATATATATGAATGTTTTAGGTAAATCTTTAAGGTGTTGCTGGAAAAGGGGAAGACAGAGGAGAGAACCAGCCTAAAGGAACGTGTCTGTGTTGATTTTATGGGCTTCAGTAAACTGGCCATTGATAACGACCTTCACGGACCTCATTAGACTTTTCTCAAGCCACGGCATTTGTCAGAATCGAGACATTTTAATGGATTTTAAGTTAGTAGGACTTTTTTGTTAGCCGGACTTTTTCTGTTAGCCAGACTTTTTTTGTTAGACGGACTTTTTTGTTAGTAGGACTTATTTAGTTAGCCGGACTTTTTTTTAGTTAGTAGGACTTTTTAGTTAGCCGGACTTTTTTTGTTCGTAGGACTTTTTTGTTTACCGGACTTGTTTAGTTCGTAGGACTTTTTTGTTAGCCGGACTTGTTTAGTTCGTAGGACTTTTTTTGTTAGCCGGACTTTTTCTGTTAGCCAGACTTTTTTTGTTAATAGGACTTTTCTTGTTAGCCGACTATTTTTTTGTTAGTAGGACTTTTTTGTTAACCGGACTTTTTTTAGTTAACATTTTTTTTTTTTTTTTTTTTTTTTTTACTAGGGATTTTTTGTTAGCATAACTTTTTTGTTAGTAGGAGTGTTTTTATTAGCAGGACATTTTTGTTAGCCGGATTTTTTTTAGCAGGTCTCAAAAATAAATAGATAAATCTTTTGTTGCAAGGCAGATTTGCTCTGAAAAAACATAATGCAAAAAAGGTTTTATTTTTTCACTGACAAAAATAAATACTATTCAAGCTCTAGTACAATGATTCCAAACGTGGGGCGCATGGCTCACCGGTGGAGCAAAGTAATATTTTGTTGGGGCAGGCATAGGATGTGCATCCTTTGGCTTATTATACTAACAGAATAAGGGGGCAATTCGAGAATGATTTATTAACAATGAATTGTTTTCTAGTGAGTATGTGTGAGAGTGTTAATGTTAATGTGTGTTAATACATACGATGTATATACAGTATGCATACATAAAAATAATTTGTGTGTACGTACGTACATGTGTAATTGGCATACTCGTAAGAATTAAATATTACAGGGGGGAGGCAGAATTTTAGAAATACTAAAATGGGACATGGCCAAAAATCAGTTGGGAACGACTGGTCTAGTACGAGAGAATAGGTTTGGAATTTCTAAAACCCATCTGTCGTTTCTGCAGATATCAGCATATCGCCACATTCTCTTGTAATTTAAAATAACATAGATGCAAATAGATGTAGAAGAGGTATTTGGAATTGGTGATAAAATGGACTTAGTATCTCAGTTATAACAGCAGACATCAAGGGGTCGATTTTGACATTAATATTTTAGAGAAAGTGTAGTGTATAAATCCCGCAGCAAATTGATCTCGGGCTTTTTACGAAGTTATCTGGACTAGATTGTTACTTACAAACGTCAATTTTGTAAACCTGTTTTCGTTATTTATATTAGTATATTTGTTTTAAAATTTCTGAATGAAACTTTATGTTTTTAATTATTCAAAAGTAGGTGACGTGTAGGCGATGTCCGGAACACAAAGACAGACTTTGGGTGATAATAATTATTTATTTATCAAATAAATAGAGAACCTTTTTTTTTATTTGCTTTCCATCAGCAAGGTTGATGTTATCATCTGGGAGAATAATTTCTTGCGCCTTCTCGGGATGACATTTTCCACTGACTTTAAATAGAAAGAGTATATTGAATCAATTGCTAGATCTGCCGCTAGACAATCTTTCTTTCTAAAATCTATATTACACATGTATAAGTCTACTATTCGACATTGCTTTTAATATTAGTGTAACATATGGTCTGGTGTTTCTGCTATATATTTAGAGATTCTTGATAAAATACAAACAAGAATCTGCAAGGTTATCAGTCTTGACCTGGCATCTCATTTATCAGTAACTTTATCTCTATCTCAACATAGCTTCCCTGTGACTTTTCTATAAATATTTTTATGGTAATTGTTCTGATGAGTACTTAGACATTATGAATTGAAGCACATCACTATATTGGTAATAAGGTCTCATGATTTCTGTTATGGTAATTTACCCACGCATGCATGGACTCTTCCAGCTATAAATAGGAGCAGGTACTGCCTTTTGGAGTGTGAAGTTTCCAGCAGTCAGCTCGGACAGACGGACCGAGCATTGTTGCTGTAACATTTGCGTTTCTATATGTTTGTATTGCTGTTTTCTGTTAATATATTTGTTTAACTCAATTCCTCTCTTTGTGTCTTCATTTCTGGCCCTAACAAGGCCACAACAATTTCACTGTTGAATTTGCACGAAACAACCGTAAGTTTTATTCTAATAGTTTCTTCTCTTGTGGCTCTTATCTATGGAACTTATTGCTGGCTTCTTGTTTTACAGTCAGCTTCAATCTTCCAACATTTAATGGCAATGCCAATCATTATTTTCTGTCTTCTTAATTCTTGTTCGTCCATTGTCCTTTCACGTCGAGGTGTTTATTTTTTTTAGTTTCTTACCGTTTTCATAATACTTTTTGCATTTAACGACTTATTTAGAAGGAAATTATTAGAAAATCTGGAGAGTCAGTGTTATGGTAATTTCCCCACGCTCGTATGGACTCTTCCAGCTATAAATAGGAGCAGGTACTGCCTTTACGGAGAGGAAATTTTCCAGTAGTCAGCTCTGGCAGTCAGACCGAACATTCTTGCTGTAAC